AAAATGTAGGCGCCTATGGCTTCTTCCGGAAGCAGGAAAATTAAACGACAACCGAACTAAGAAAACACACTAGTTGCTGATCTATGTCTCTCATCAACCAGATTGTGAGTGAGATTCTCTGCAGAGCTGTGTCTGTGATACAAGAGGCTAAACAGGCAGCATCAGGAGACTCCAGGAAGGATGTGAACTTGGAAGTGACCATCATCACCTGGCCACCTGTGACAGAGCAGAATACATCTGGGAAGACATCAGACAAACAAGAACCCGGGTTCTCCGCGTGGTGGTCCAAGGCAAGCATTGCTCGAGCCTTCAAGCATCTTCCTACGGCAACACATCCGGACTGGCAGGCCTGGAGACTGTCTGCAGAATAGGCCCTTTCCCTAAGGTCAGAGGAGTCATGCAAGGAGGGAGCCCTGTATCTCCTCAGCCCCCAGAGCACCCACCATCACTGCTTTCTGGCACCCCCTTTTAATTTCCAGAGTGTCTGTGAATAACACGGGGCTTCTATTTTAGGTATAACATGCCTGCAAACAGCTCATCAGTTTGTAAGTTTCTAACAAGTGTGGCCTTGGGCAAAATTATGTATCTCTTTGAGTTTCCCATTCCTCATCTGAAAAATAGATAAAAAAAATAGCTCTCCCCACCTGAGTCCGGGTGAAGGGTCACAGTGTTATGGGAAAGTCCAGGCTCCATGCATGTTTCAGAGAAATCCCTGTAACTTGGGACGGCAAGAGACTACCTCCAATGCAAGCTCATGGAATGCCATGATAGCCACTGGTTATTCATTCCGCAAACCAGAGAGACGTCTGTAATTATGCTGTTGCTATAGCCATTGTAGAGTTATCTGTGCTCTTTGAAATAGAGAGCCCTGCTTTCCTGAAAAATCCTGACCTATGCTAACCAGTTCTCTCTGCCTTGTAGAGATTTTGCTGGAGCCCAGAGTAAGCCGGGCTCTGGGAGGCTGCCCATGGGCTGGTTTGTCTCCTGGGGGCGGGAACCCTCCTACAGGGTGGTCTGGTCTCTTTAAGAAAGAAAAAAAGTTACATAGACAAAAAAAAAAAAAAAAAAAAAAAACACACACAGCAATACAAACCAACCAAAAATGCCAGGAATGCAAGCTTTGCCAACCAAATAAATAAATAAAATGTGAGATACTTTATAATAACTAGACATGATGCATTTCTCAACTCTGCATAATTGAAACACTACTTTTCCGCCAGCCCTTCAAATGCCCCCCTGACTCCTAGTCTTGGTGGCTCTCTTGCTCGCTTAGAGATAGCACTGATAACCCCCATCACCCAAAGTAACTGACCAAGCCCCGAGCCTTAGCAGAGAGTTGGGACCTCGAGGTACTTGGACACTCTGAAAGTTACCTGGTTCACTGTGTTTGCTCCGTGAGCCACAGAATGGAGCCTCACTGGTGTGAGATCTCAGCTAAGGAGATGAAAAAGTTCTCTTCAACTTTACATTCTCTCCCAAAAAAGGAGATGAGGGGAAGTACATTATACAGCAACAGCCCCTATTAAACATTTCAAGGGGCCCCTGAAAATGCTACACTGGTTTTCTGTTGACTTGTTTTCCAGTTAACTGTTTAGAATCTACTTGGGGTCAGTACTGCTTTAAGATTTTGTACACCTCAACAGACACAATTCTCCTGACAGCCCTGTGAGTCAGAACAACTATCACACTCATTTTGTGGATGCAGGAGCGAGAGCACAGAGACATGAAGTAATCTGTCCAAAGTCACACAGCTAGTAAGTGGCAGAGCTGGGATTCAATCCCAGACAGGCTGGCTCCAGACTCCGGGCTCTGAACCACTGGGCTTGTTAGTCACTAATGGAGTGTGGTCCTCGGGGGTCTGGGAGCACAGTGAGCTTAATAGCCTGGGCAACGCTGCCCGTCTTTCTTGTCTACGCGGATGACGGCATAAAGACTGACCAAAGGGACGACCGAAGGAACACATCTTCCTGTCTCTGAGGACTCTGTGGGTGTCTCATGGAGGACGGGGGTGATCCTTTCATTCTTATAAAATAGCAAACATGGAGAATCAGCACTCCTGCTCCTCCCTGAGCATTTCGCTCACCTCACCAGCAAGGTGGAGTGGAGAAGAAGGGGAAAATTAAGCGGCTTGGGAATGTATTTGCTTTGGCACCCAGCCTCCACCCTTCTCAGTGAGCTCCACACCAAGAGGGAACTCATGGACTCTCCATGGCTTTGTTTCTTTTAGCCCATGTAAGACCCAAGAGCCTTGCCATCATATATTGCAATCAGAAAGGCACACCCACTTTACACTTACAAGGAATATGCACTTCCAATGTTATTTCAAAGCGTAGGTTAATTTGGTACTTAAAGCTGTTGGAAATCTGGGAGGTCTCAATCTAGAAGAAGAGTGTAAAAAGGTTCAGGATCAGGTCCTAGCCACAAAAGGCAGGCAAAAAACCCAGGACTCCCACTTCAGCACCTACTGCCCTGCTGCCTCTCTTTGGCTCTTGGATTTGGGGAGGGAAAATCTTGGTTTAATTATTTAAGGCAGATAAGATCCCACACTAGTTGTCTCCACACATAAGAAACTAAACAACCTAAAGAATCATTGTGAAAAATATTTAAGTCACAGCTGTGGACACAAAGCCACGCTGTGAGAAGTTAAACTTTAAACACATGTCCTATATGGTCTGATGGGCAAAGCAAATCCCCACTTAGCCAGTGTCTTCTCCACCCCCCAACAAAGGCAGCAGCCATGGCGAATGTTTCTTCTATCCTTGCACCTGCAAGTTTAAGCCTCAACTGACGTTTCTTTGCTGAGCTTTTCAAATGTAATTGGCAGTATCACTCAAGGAAGGCAACGTACACTGAGAAGTTAGAAAAGGGATTAATTTTACCTTAGCCACGGGCTTACTAGATTTTCTTAAGTGACTTACCTCCTCTGTGCCTCTATTTTCCTCTCTAAGATATGGGTACAATATTCCCATATATGCTACCAAAAATCCAGAAAAAAAACAAAACCGAAAACTTCTATATATATTTTCAAGTTTCTCCGTCTTCCCCAAGATAGTGCCAGAAACCAAACCTCCTTACGATAAATGGCACAAGGTTGCCCAATTTCTCTGATCCACTGACATTTTGTTGTATTGAAGGATGCTTACAAAACCTGACCAGTGGCTTGTCAACCTTTTCTGGAAAAGAGAGGCATTGTAAAGATTCCTATTATAATAGATGCTGACTGTAGCATTAGGGCTTCCTGTCCCCAGTTTACAGATGGGAAAGCTAAGCAAAGTTACTTGCCCAGGGGCTTATTTTTTTATCAATAACCAAAATAACAGCGCCATATGCTCAAAATCTCTAGTGTTAATATTAACTTACCCCCCAGATCACCTCAGCTGTTCACTGTGACCCAAAACACGTGGTGCCAGGGGCTCTTCACTCCTAGCCCCTGAAATCCACTGTAGGTATGAAAACTGACCAGCTTACATGCTATTTCCCAGACAGCCGAATCTGTCTCTTCCCCATAGGCATGCATACAAACAAGCCATTCTTAAGGAAAGAACCTACGAGATGAGCTTATGTCTTGGCTGCGAACTATCATTTCTTTCATGCATGGTTTGGTGCAATTGTGACTAACAGAATTTATTCTGGCTTCCTTGAACTCTAAACACAACCATCACAGCAGCATCACTTCTGAGCTGTAGCTCTAAGTGCCCGAAATGTCTCCACGGTTCTAGCTGAACTCAGCGTTGCTCTGACCATCAACATCCCTGTGACAACAAACAGTCTTAGCCTTCTTTGTGCACCTCCCAGTGGAACCCCCAGTACCGGGGCTGAATGTGAGGGGGTCTAACAGGACAGGACATGCTCATCCATGTCTTTATGAACATTTCGGGATGATCTCCAAATGACAAAACATCAGCTGGGCTTGGGTTTGAAGTTTAAGCAGATTAAGAAAGGGTTAAACTAAGCAACTCAATTACAGCAGAGGCAAAGAAGCCTGAACCACAGGCGGGAGCAGCTAAACTTATTGATAATCAGATACCACAGAGAAGCAGGCTACTTCTGCGAATTATTTCCCAGATGGCATCACCTTCGCACTGTATCTTATTATATACCTTTACCTCTAAAATCACTAATTTCTAAAAGATAGCTGGCTGTTGCCCATCCTAAAAGAAAACATCTATTCTTCTCAAAGCGCATCTATCCCAGGGATTCTGGATTCCAAGACAAAATCACATTCCTTTCCTATCCTCTTCTTCAAATCTTTCAGACCAAGGAATTGGACAACCAACCACCAACCAAAGACACAAAGTCGCGTTTGGTGTCAGGACGTTGTTCCCTCTTGTAACAGATCTTTGGTGGCAGAGGGCAAATTTATGGCAGACTAGGAAGATGGGTAAAGTAAGTAACCTGCAGGAATAGAAGCGGGATGTTTCCAGAAGTTAAGACGATCATTTCAGTTCTCCTCCCATGTCCTTGCCCTCAACCCAGAAAAGAGGAGCTAGATAGCAAAGGGACATGTGACAGAGGGGCGCAGGACGGCAAGATGTTTGAAACGTGCTTGCAGGCCAGTCAGTTAGACACTATGTCGGTTCTCACTGCCCAGGGCCCTCCATCCAGCTCCAGCTCTGGTAATGCGGGGGCCAGTGGATGATGTCTTCTGCGGCAGTGTCCACCCCCCCCCCCCACAAAGCTACGGGAAAAGGCCAGAGCATTCCCACTCATTTGGAAAGATAAGAAAGCAGGAATGGGGGTGCTGGACATTCTATAAGCTTTTTCCCATTACTCACAAAAACACAGCTGTGAAAATAAATACCACCCCCCAAACAAGGGTCCCAGGCCACCAACAGTCTTCTCTACCTTGCTTCCAGCTGCTCCCAGCATCGCCTTGCTCAGGCAAAAACGAACTGCCTAGAAGGGAACAGCGAAGCGGGGGGGGGGGGGGGGGGAGAAGCGGAGGGGACCCCAGCCTCCGGCCCAAAGCTGGCGTGGGGGCCTCGACAGTCACCACTCACCCGGGGAGGGGAAAAGCTCCAGATCGACTTTTTCCGTCTTGATGATGGTGAGAGTCGGTTTGAGATCGACGGCCGCCTTCATGGTGCCAGGAGTGGGGGGCAGACAGGATTATGGCAAGTTTGCTGTTATTCTTGTTGTTTGTCTTTTTAATGGGGATTAGTAACAGGGGAAAAGGGGACGGGAGGGGGGGGGGATCCGACTTTCTTCCCTAAGATTTCAGATTGCCGCTGACTTTTCCCCGCGCCCAGAAGGTGCGCGCCCGGCACTCTCCCGGGAAGTTGGCACTTTGCGGAGAAGTGCGCGCGCCCCGGGTCCCAGCCTCGCCTGCGCCTCGCCCCGCTCCTCCTCGTCCTCGCCCCGCTCCTCCTCTCCGCCGGCAGGCAGCTTCAGCTCGCTCTCGCTCTCCGGAGCCGCGGTCTCCCTCCCTCTCTCCCTCCTCTTTAGGGCGTTTCTCGCGGCGCCGAGGCTCGGCGGCCGGGTCTGCGCGCCCGCCCCCCCCCCCCAATCCCCCAGGCTCTCCGCGGGGGGCAGGGGGGAGGAGCGAGGGGCGGGGACGGCGGGGCGGGGGCGGACCGGGGGCGGGGCCAGAGGCCAGCGGCCAATTGTCGGCGGCGGCCCAAAACGAAAGGAAGGCGGGGCGGGGCTCCGCGGCCGCCGGCGCCCTAGCCCCCTGCCTGCTGCCTGCCCGGGCCCGGCCGCCCTGCAACCTAGAGCTGAGCGCGGAGCCGGCGGGGCGCTGAGCCCTCTGCCGCGCTGGGAAGGGCCTAGGGCCGGTGAGCAGGCTGGGTGCAGAGGCTGCCACGGCCGTTGGGGAAAGTCCGTCTGATTCGCCACGCATTCTTGAGGACTTGGTCACCCGCTCCTGCCCCCCCCCCCCAGTAGCAGCATAGTTTTCCGAGTGCGTGTACATCATTCATTCACAAAGACTGACACACAGGACGTGAGGCATGCGGAGGAAGGGGCGTGCGTGCGAGCGGGCGCAGGGGGTTCTCAAGCCAATGTCCTCGAAGGGCTTTATGAGTCCTGGACTGCAGCCGGTTTGTGAGTCAGGAATCGGTTCAGTGTTTCTGGAGGAGCCTTCGACTTTTCAGAGCTCACCCGTATCATGGTTACGAAATGACTTAAGACGAGGCAGCGTTGGAGAGCCGAAATCTTGTTTCGCTGTCCTTGAGAAGGATCAAGCTCAAGGCGGCCTCCTGGAGACCCCTAGACAAAGGCCCAAATACTTCTGTGTTACTGGGAGAGCAGAGAACAGGGCCCCCAAACTGGAATCCAATCATGGGCTTCCATAAGCTTCCAGTTTACCTATAGCAGTGGTTGAGTGGAAGGGGAAGCTATTATTCTTCTAATTATGTAGTCACGGGCCCTTCCTTTCACAGACTCTCTTCCACTGGAGAAAACTGGAAACCCCACAACTACCACCAGCACGGAGAGAAATGCAGAGGCCCTGTGGTTTTGAATTTCTGGAGTACATCATTCACAGCTGTGACACAATCAACAATGCACAACCCCTGTTCCACTTGGGAATTTCGGACACTTCGGACACCACAACGCGATCCCAAATAATTAATGGTTTTGCACTAACACATTGGTTATCATAAGTGGAGGTAGTTGGTTCTAAGTAACAAAGCAACCAGTGAATATAGAGGTACGTACATAGACACGCTTAGGTATAGCTAGAGTCAGACATTGAGATCTACCTTTAGGTAACTAGAAGATTAAGCATATATCTTTCTGAACCTCAGAAAAAGGTTATTTTTAACATGTTTCCTGATTTCTAAGCATATGTTGAACTACCACCACCTGCCTGTTAACTGTATGTAACTGCTGACAAACACTCTCCCCCCCCCCCCCACCCCATCAATTTGAACACACCTGCTTACCTTTACCTAACCCCAGTTTTGTCTCCTTGAAACATTAGTAACTTGCAGGTTTCCCACAGCAAATGAGAGAAGGAGCCAGGAACACAAAATAAATCTCTAGCTCTTGGTTCAAACTTCAGATGATGCCCCTCCTTCAGTAACAAGAGGAAAATATTTGTATGTGATAATCCTAATTTTTGAAGGATTGTTGTAATCCAGCTGTTAGATTTCCAAAAGGTGTGAGAAAACAATGCTGGCTTCCAGATGACAAGAACAGACACTTCTGATCCCGGGAAAAGCTGGGGGAAACCGCTGATGAATGAATTGTACATTTACACGTCCAAATGAGCCGCAAAGGAGAGGATCTTGAACCAATCCTGCCTTGCCCGTTCTGAACACATCAGCAAAACAACTGAGCAAATCAAGAGTTGCTTTGGGGAATCTTGTTTTATTGATGTTGTGTTAAGAAAATGCTGGTATTTTTAAAATCCAAGTGTGAGTACTTCTCTATTTGCAAAGGAAGCTTCCTGGGAGCCAGTCTTTTCTGTCTTCCCCAGAATTCTCCTCAGCTTTCTTCCTGCTGCCAACACCCCTCACCATTAGACACTAAAAGAAGCCACCATGATCAAACCATAAATACTTTCCACTCTGGCAATGGGGGAATTTATTATTTCCGGTTCCTTAAAAATGACATCTCTCCTTGTCAGTCATCCTTTTCTCTAACCCAGTCCTGGAGCACAGAAACTCAAAATAGCTGAAGGTCCAAATCAAGGAAGGGGTTTAGGTTAAGACAAGAAGGAGGGTGAGATAGCCAAAGACCACCACGGACCTCCAGGAAGTCGACTTCTGCCTGACACTGATTGTGAATAGTGAAGTTATCAGAAATTATGCATCTAACTTCGGACCTAACTGAAACTTCACTTGGGACAAGGGGCGCTAGTATAGACAAGTTAAAACATTTTTTACATATTTGGGATATTAATAATCCAATCAGGCTTGCAAGTATCCAATCAAGTTTGATAAACGAAATTTTTATTCTCTTTATGACCCAAGTAGACTCTTGTAAATGTTCTATGGACTTTCGATGGCAGTTCTATCTTACTGTAGCCTAAAAACCAACAAACACCTGGCCCAGTGCTGGACACATGGGAGACCATCAATATGTACGCAGTAATGAACTGTCAACCTCCTGGTCACTGTGGGCACCTACTTTGTCACCACCTCTTTCTAATTTAAAGGTTAAATGAGTTGGCTGTGCTATGGCTTGTGAAGATAAACTACAAAATGTCAGTGACTGTGCCCCTAGGTCTGCTCCTTGTCCCCCGGGGGCAGAGCAGAACCCCTGTTCCCCAGCGTTCATGTCCACTTAGTTTCAGTTGTGCCTCAGTTTCCCCACCAGCAAAACAAGATCAGCTGGGCCTTGCCTTCCAGCTACTTGGCAAGTTGTTTCAAGACTGATTTCGAGACACTCAAGAAAAATCATCCAAGGGAATTCTTCGCTTTTGTTTGTAATGCAGTAGTCTGTTCCTCCTGCACTTGCGAGAAAACAGAATTGTATCTTTAAACATCCCTGAAACCTAGGGAATTACATCCCTCAAGGGCTAAAACTCCTTAAACAAGGAACATCGTGTCAATAAGGGTCAAAACAAAGCTGCAGGGGTTGGGGCATCGGGGAATGCGATTAGATGTTAACGGTATCAAAGAACTAGTCACATTTTTACACAGAATTCTCTCACACACATAGAAGATGTCAAAAACATAACCTTTCTCTTTTCTACTCCCCCCTCAATGCCACGCCAGCCTTAACAAAAAAAGAAACATAAAAAATACACCCCATTTCAAACAATCGTGGAAGATGGACTCCCCCTCTCCACAACTGTGCTGGAATAAGTTATTTGTCTATTTCTGGAATCTTAAGCTTCAACAAACAAAAGAACCTCTGAGTTTTGAGCTAAAATATGCTGTATTGGAGGTAGGTGCAAAAACATTCAGACCACTAACGGCTGATCCAGAACACGTTTATGACTCACAGATGTTGATTTACTGGTTTAAATGTAAGATTTAAAAAAAAAAAAAAAAGAAAAGAAAAAAAAAAGGTCCTCAACAACCTGTCTGAGTTGCGTTTGTGGTTGTTTTTCTCTGAGAAAAGGCAACAGTCCCCATCACACACAGGGACCTAGAAACAGGCGTCTAAAGCTTAACTCTAAAGCAAGTGGTTTCTATGTGATAAGTTGAGTCATTAAAAAAGCACACCGGGGCAGAAAAAGGCCTGGGGCTTCGATATCTACCATTATCAAGCAGCAATAAAATGGCAAATTGGAGGGGCTCCTGGGTAGCGCAGTCGGTTAAGCGTCCGACTTCAGCCGGGTCACGATCTCGCGGTCCGTGAGTTCGAGCCCCGCATCGGGCTCTGGGCTGATGGCTCAGAGCCTGGAGCCTGTTTCCGATTCTGTGTCTCCCTCTCTCTCTGCCCCTCGCCCGTTCATGCTCTGTCTCTCTTTGTCCCAAAAATAAATAAACGTTGAAAAAAAAAAATGGCAAATTGGAGATGGAAAGGAAAATGAAAATAACTCTCCTAATTAAACTCTGATGCCAGAAAGCCTGAGGGTCAGTGCAAGAACCCCATCCGCGGGCTCAGGACTGCCCTGCTGCAGGCTGGCTCTGTGACCTCAGGGAAGCCACTTAACCTTTCTGTGTCACAACCTCCTCTCTGTTTCATGGAATAAAATCACCCCTGGCTCTCCCTACCGTGTAATACAGGCTCATTAGCTATTGTTTAGAAGGTACAATAAACAATGGGCGATAAGAAGTGCTGTAGTTGGGGGAGGGGGGTGCGGGAGTTGGGCAGGAGGTGGGGGCGGGGTGCAGGGAGGGGCAGGACTTAGGGGCTGGTAGGCCCCCGGGGTGGAGGGGGGGGGAAGCTTCCACAATAAAACAAAGAGGAGAGTGAGCCGTGGAGGCTCTGGAGTAGGACTCTGGTTCAAACTCCAGCTCTGCCAACCAGCCAACTGAATTACTACTCCTAAATCACTAACCCCAAACCCTCAACTCCACCACATTTAAGGTAGAGGCCATAATAGCGCCCACCCTTAAGGCTGTTTGGAGGATTAAATGAGATGACACATGCCAAGCCCTTCACACAGTGTCTGTCTAGGTCAGAAGACGTGCTCGGTGAAAGTTACATATTGTTACTGGTGTTCATCTCCAGTATGAGGAAGAATAGCCAAGAAATCATGCTGAACCTCAATGACCATCCCCTTTACCAAGTAACTTGGATCCTCTCTTCACCTGAACTGTCCTCGGGGGAGAGATAGGGCGAGCGATCGTGTGTAATTGAAAAAAATCTCTGCAGACCCCTTCTCCTCAATTCCTGATCTGGGAACCTGCCCAGCTTTGGCCTCGTTGGAGACATTCCAGCACTACCTGATTAGAAGAAAAAACCGCAGATCTGTATTTGTTTTAAGAGTATAGGAAAACGGTAGTTCAAATGCAGAAGGAAGATCGTGTTTGTGGCACCTCTGTGGACACAAAGTCTTAGGTCCTGGCTTCATCACATGTCGGAGCTAGGTGGGAGGTTCTCAGAGACGGTCAAG